TTATAAATTAGAAAACAGCAAGACAAGTGTATAGACTTTATGGTACATACGATGTGAATGTCAGTGAGCCATTTTACAAAATTGAACAAAATAACCAAATTATAAAAGGAATGCAGCATCCCCCTACTGAAAGACAATGAGTCTCGCATGTGAAAAACAAAAGAAAGGACCCACATAGAGAAGGAATGTAACATCCCATATGTGAAGGTGAAGCAGAGGACCCCACATTAGAAGAAATCATGGAGATTCACATATGGAGAAGGAACAGGCCTATCGCCAGGGTCCTGGTGATCAGATGGCACAAAGTTGTTAGATCTATGCTAAAGCTTCCTCCCTCCATCTGATTCATCTGATATTAGCAATGATGTCCCTGGTGCCACAGCCTCTTCTAAATCCCACTTGAACTTCTGTTAATTCCCTATCTATGTACTGTTCCAGCTGTTTTTAAATGATCTTAGCAGTATTTTGCTAGCATGTGATATCAATAATATTGTTTGAGAATTTCCACATTGTTGAGGAGCAAAGATATCCATTTGAGGACTAAGGTGTGCTTGATTCAGATCATGGTCTTTTCAGTCACTTGTTATGCCTCTGAGACGTGGATAATGAATAACGATAACAGAAGAAGAACTTCCAAATAGACAGAACACAGACTGCCAAAAGAACAAACAGATATGTTTGGAGAATGTGCAGCCAGAGTGCTCTTTGGAGGTAAAGATGAAGAAGCTTCATCTAACATATTTTGAACATGTTGCAAGGAGAGGTTTTTCTTGGAGAAGGGCATCATATTTGGAAAGGTGGAAGGATTATGAAAGAGAGGAAGACCCTCAACCAGATGGATGGTCCCAGAGACTGCAGCAATGAGTTTGAGCATGTCAGAAATTGTGAGGATGGCACAGAATAGGACAGTGTTCACATATGTTGTTCATAGGGTCGCTATAAGTTGTATCCAGCTCGATGGCACCTAACAACAGCAACAGGCTACCAGATCTCCCATCTATTTAACATAGTACCTATTTAACTTGTTATGAGCAGTTCAAGTGTAAGAAAATATAATAAATATGCTATTTTATATGTTAGAAATAAGAATAAGAAATGTGTAGGAATTTGCTATGTTATATATTAGAAAATATGTTAAGAATATTTGTGAAAAAAATATACTAAACAGTTTAACATGCCCAAACATGCCCTTAGTAGCTATGAGGCCCCATTGGCCACAACTTGTGTAGACCCCTGATAAGGAATTGTGACTTGTTACTGCCCATGTTACCAAAGGAATACGGCTGGTATAGAACATTACTGGTCAAACCAATGTTGTTTTAAAACAAATGTGATTGGTTATACAACTTGTTTTGAAACTGTTAGGGTTGGTAAAACCCAAAGTTTGAATGTTGTTATTCTTAATATTATTGTTTAATATAATGAAGCTGAAAATTAGAATATTATTGGTTGAATTACAATGTAATACCCCCAAAAGTATATAAACTGTGGGTCCCTAACTAAAACTGCATTTCAGCCAAAGACTGAACATTGAAGACCCAAAGGCTCTTTTCAGAACCAAAGACCCAAAGGCTTTTTTCAGAGTTAAGAACTCTAGCCACACCAATGTACATGAGCTGCTGAGACAGCAGAGGAACCCGACTACACCAATGGCCATGAGAGGCAAAAGTAGGAGACTAGTTGGGATCCCAGGGGTGAGTGAATGTTCCCCACTAATCAATATGTTGTGATGAGTTTATAAATTGTTATGTAGATAAATTATAAATTAACTGTTTAATGTTTGCTATAAATTAATGAATCAATATGTTGTGATGAATATATAAATTACAATATAGATGAATTGCAATTGATTATTATTATGAATTAATTAATGAAGAAAAAAAAATTGTAGTTGGCTTTTGTAATATGTCTACAAGTAATTAATTAAGGCTTAAGGCTCATGACATTAACTATTTTAAAATAGTCTGGAAAATTTTTGAGCAGAGTTGTCCTGTTGTGTTGATTTATTTTAGAATACTTAATTGTACATCTTTTCTCTTGGAGGTAAATAGCTATAACAGATTTATTAGAAAGTTACATCCCCAAAGGGGTGGACCTCCCTCCCTGAGAGGAGAGATGGAGGAAAGCTCTCATGCTGTTGGAGTGAGTTTGTTGTACATCTTTGTACATTTTCATATGTGGTGATTTTGTATTAAAATGTGGCTCTTTTCCTATAAAAGAAATCTATTTTTGGAGGATTTCTTTTTGCAAAACGATTCAGAAATAAATAAATTCTAAGTATTATACAAAATTTTGAGCAGAGACCTGAAATGATGAAAGTGGATTAAGACTGAATCTGGCAATAGAACATTAAATAGATTGAAAAGAGGAAGATGGAAATGAGAGAAATGATTGATTAGAGGTTTCCGCAATAAACTAGCTCTGAGTTTCTTTTTATTGTGTTTTGGGTGAGAGTATACAGATCAAATAGGTTTTCTTTTTGGGTTTTTTGCCTTTGCATTAAGCACTTTTTGGGGAAAAAAAATTGAATAATTAGTTCAGTGAAAATTCAGCTCTTAGATTAGACTAGAAAGTCACAGGGAACTTTCTGAAAACTACATCCAACAAATGCATCTAGAGTCTGTCTGGAAACTCTACCATTACTAGAAAACAAACCACATAGATTTTTTTTTTCTCCTCTCTATTTTAGCTTAACAAAGGAGTGTCTTCTTGTTGTTGATTGTCTTCGAGTGGAGCACAACTCATAGTGACCTTATGAACAAAAGGCTTGGAGCCCCTCTACAACTATTGACATTTATCAAGGTTCATAGGGTTTCTGGAGGAATGTTATTTAGGAAGTGGATGCCACTCCTACTTCCAAACCTATCATAGTATGTTACTGTTTTTATAGTGCCATGACCTCTTCTAAACCCAGCCTGTATTTCTTCTGGCAGTTCTCTGTCAATGTACTGTTCAAGTCTTTTCTGGATAATCTTCAGCGGGATTTTGCTAGTGTGTGATATTAGTGATATTGTTTGATAATTTCCATAGGAGTGCCTTAGTAGCACGTTAAGTGCTGGGCTGTTCTTCAAAAGGTCAGGTTATTGGGAAAAAGATGTGGTGGTGAGAGTCTGTAAAGATAGTTGTTGTTAGGTGCTGTTGAGTTGATTATGGTTCCTAGTGACCCTATAAACTGTACCTGCCCTGTTTAGTGCCATCCTCCTCTCTAATATGTTGTTGTTATGTGCCATCGAGTCAACTACAACTCATAGTGACCCTATCCACAATAGCTCTGAACCCTGCCCTATCTAACGGTCTTTGGCACACCTACTCTTATTATCCCAGTTATTGTGTCAATCCATCTCATCCAGGGTCTTCCTCTTCTGGGCTGTCCCTAAACCGTTGAAATTTGATATCTGTCTCCAAGACTGTTCCCTCCTGGGCACATGTCCAAAGTATGTGAAATAGAATCTCAAAATTCTTGCCTCCGAGGAGCATCTTGGTTTCACCACCTCAGGACAGATTTGTTAGTTTTCTTTGAAGTCTATGTCATGCTCAATGTTCTCCTCCAGCACCACAAGTCAAAAGCATCAATTCTTCTTCTGTCATCCTTGGTCATTGTCCAGTTCTCTGATGCATAGCAAATAATTGTGAAGATCATAACCTAGAGAAGGTACACCTACATCCTTGCTTTTTAGCACTCAGGAGAGATCCCTGACAGCAGATTTTCCTAATGCAATTCACCTTTTCATTTCCTAACCACTGATGCCAAGAGTGTTGATAGTGGAACCAAGCAAACAAAAATTGTTAACAATCTCAATCCCTTCTCCATCTATCATAATGCTGCCAATTGGCCCAGTAGTGAGAATCTTTATTTTATTGATGTTGAGCTTCAATTCATATTGCAAACTACAGTCCTTGACCCTCTGCAGCAAATGCTTAGGGCCCTAAGTTTCAGCTAGCAAGGTTGTGTCATCTGCATAATTCAGGTTGTTCATGAGTCTTCCTCCAATTCTGATACCACATTCCTCCTTTTAATATACTTGATTCCATTGTTGCCCAGTGGCAACAATGACTTGAGTCATTGTGTCCATCCATCTCATTGAAGGTTTTCCAACAGCCTTGGAAGTTGTGGGAGACAAGACTACTCTGTCTTAAGGTGTCACTATTATTTGGATTCTATGGAATTGTAGTGGGTTAGGTTGGGATTTTAGTACCTTAGCTGGTGCTAGTCCTTTTATCTCTATCTCTTTCATCACTACCAGTTTAAGTTTCATAACAAATACCACACCCAGCTATTATCCTTCCTCTTCCATTACTAGTAGATAATTTAGTCCTTCCTGCCTTTCTTTTTTCCATATTTTTTCTTCCCAAGGCAAGACAGTGCAGTGATAAAAAACAATAACTATAAACCCAGCTCAACCGCCAGTTCTGTGACCTTGGACACCTCGTCTAAAGTCTCAGTAGCTCAATGTTATTACCTTTAAAACGGGGAGTTGTGCGTTGTTATGAAGATTGAATTGGTAACCTATTAAAACGATGATTACATTGGAACAGATTAGGGGAAGAACTGTCTGAAAGGAATATATGATTAGGTATTACAGGTATGGCAACAACCTGAGAGAAGAGGTGCATTGCAAAATGAACTGGGACACAGGGAAGGGATGCATAGGGAAGAAATGTACAACAACAAATCAATTAAAAAAAAATACAGTGATGCCTGCTACGCAACAAATGCTGAACAAATGTCAGCGTTTGTCTCGATTAAGCATTCCTGTTTCTGCAATTAGGTCACCGCGACAGCCGTGGGCTGGCAGAGCGCAGAATCCCCAGACGAGAGCATGGCGGGCGGGGGCGTGGCCACCCCGAGCGAGCTGGAGCCCGCGCGCCCCCGCGCCCCCGCCCGGCTGCGCGCAGAGACCGAGGGAGCCCACGGCTCGTCCCCGCCCCCGCCCCGGCCTCAGCGGCGCGCGCTCCCCGGCGTCCCACGGTAGCACTCATGTGATTAAGTCAAAGCCAACATGGCTACGCCGGGCTCTCTGATCCTCTTGACTGTGGCTCTCCTCCCCGCAGACTGCTATGCCTGGGCTCTGGGACATCTCGGCCCGCCCACACCGCTGCCGCTGGTGATCTGGCATGGGATGGGTAAGTGAGAGGAGAAACAGAGTTTTACGACTTTGTCTCCCTTTTCCAGCCTTGGTGTCGCGTCTGTAATATGTAGGTGGAGAGGGTGAGGACAGGGGTTGGTGCAGCGCCCGACTGGCCCAAGGTTTTCGGATTGGACTTGGAAAGGTAGTAGGAAACGGGAGCTTTCTTTAGGCGAGGGCTCATAGTGCGTTGCGATTTATGCTGGTAGGTTAACATACTGCGGAGATGAATCTTCGCAAGTTGGGCTGCAGGATTCAGCAGCATCCTGCACTTGGTCACGTAATCTAGGCGCCGACACCAGGACCACACTTCCAGTCTTTTATTTTTTCATGCATTTAACCAAGACTTAGTTAGACACCAAAAATACATCCACTCACTTAACGTAGAACTATTGAGCATTTATCTACTATGTGCTGAGGATACAGCAATAAATTAATGACTTAATTCCTTGTGCTTTACTTCCCAGAGACACACTTAAATAAGTGTACACGTGAATAAGAAACGTGTGTGATAAATGCAAAGGGCTCTGGTGGCATAGTCCGTAGGATGTTGTGCTGCTTACCAAAAGGGCTCTCTGTCTTCAGTAGTTTGAAAACATCAGTTGCTCTAGGGAGAAAGATGGGCATTCTCCTCCTATTAAAATTTACAGCCTTGAAAAACTGATGGAGGGTCAGTATGAGTTGGAGCGACTCCACTGCAGTGAGTTTTGAGTGGTAAGAGGAGTGAAGGAAAATAAAGTAGAAAGAGGAATATAGATGTGGAGGTGGGAGCTTGCTTGCATTTTTATAGAGCAGTACTTGAAGAGGAGACATCAGGCACTGTGGCATTTGGACAAGAACAAACTGGGAGGAGGGTAGAGAGAATAGTGCAACAATGAATGAGTGGAAGCCCAAAATCTCTGTAAATGTTTATGAAAATTAATAAAATATAATTATAGAAAAAAAAAAAAGAAGAGGAGACATCATGCTTGGGAGGGTGGAGGGACAGCGAAGACCCTCGATGAGGTGGGTTGATTCAATGACTGGGGTAATGGCGATAGGCATATCAGAGACAACAAGACTGACACAGGATGGAGCAGGGCTTAGGGCTGTTGTGCATAGGGTCGCAATGAGCACAGGCGACTCCATGGCATATAACAACAATAGGAAAGGTTTTGAGAAAGTGACATTAGAGCAAAACCCTCAGGTGAGTAAGAGCTATGTTTTGTGTCTATGTAGTAGATCAAATAGCAAATGCCTGGACCTTGGGGAGGGAGTATGTGTGCTGTATTCAAGGAGCAGCATTCAGCTCTGTGTGGCTAGAACTGAATGAATAGGAAGAGAACACCTGTAGCTAGATAGCAGGAGGGATCAGATGTTGTTGAGTCTACTAAGTCTAATACATGGATTTTGGCTAGGCTGAGATGAGAAGCCATTGGGTAATCTTTTTTTAAATTTTTTTTTTTTTTATTTAAGAAGCCATTGGGTAATCTTGAGCTGATTAGTGGTATGATCTGACATATTTTAAAAGGATTGCTGCGTTGAGAATAGATTATAGTGGGACAGTTGCAGGATGACAAACTAGAAAGCTTTTGAGCTTTCTAATCTACAGAAGGTTCAGAGCAGATTCGAATAGTGTATTAACAGCAGAAGTGTTAGTAACAACAAAACAACGCATTGCAGTCAAGGTGAAATTGTCTCCTAGCTCATCTTCCAGTAGGTTTTTAGAGGCTGTAAATCGCATGGGTGCAGTGTCCATCTTTCTCTCACAGAGCAGCTGGTGGATTTGAACCATCTGTCTCCTTCCCAATAGGCCATTACAGCTCACTTACAGATTAAATGAGAAAGAAAAAAAGAAGTCAAAGATGACTCTGTAGGTTTTGGCCTGAAAAACTAGAAGGATAGAATTGTCCTTCTCTAAGGTGAGGAAGCCTCAGGTAAGCAAGTTGGGAAATTAAAAAAGATCAAGAGTCTTATTTTAGACTTACTACGATTAAAAGGCTTTTGGTCACCAGTCTGGGGCTATTTCTAAGCTGGGAAGATGTGTGGAATGGCTGGATTCTGCGAAGGTGTGTTTTCTGGTTTGGGGTTGAGACTGGGATGTGGCTCTTGCTTGCTCTTGCTAGGGTATGAGCTGATTGGATTTGGCCTCATATTTAAAAAGTCTTTTGGCCACTAGTCTTGGGCCTGGTTTTTGTGGATCTCCTGTATAAAACAAAGTGGGAAGCAGGAGTGGTATCCACTTCCAAAAAAGCTTGCCTCCAGAAACTCTGAGTTTGGAGAAAAGATGAAAAGTTTGTGTTCAAGACTTTCATTCATAGGGTCACTGTGGGTCGTCTATGACTCTGCAGTACTTAACAACAACAAGAAGATTGAAGTATTTCATCAGCTCTCCAGAAGATGTTTTATAAGGACCTGGAGTATGGCATCTAGAATAGAGTTACAGCTTGGAAATTTTAACTGAGAACCTTTGAGATGGATAGTGTTTAATCACTGGATGAGATTACCTAAGGAGTGAATGAGCACAAAAGAAGTTTAAGCACTGAACCCTGAGTAATTCCAGCATTTGGAGGTTGAGGAGATAAGGAACTAACCAAGGAAACAGTGAATATGGAGGAAAGCCAGAACAGTGCCCTGGAAGCCAAGTGAAGAAAATACTTCATTAAGGGAGAATTCAACTGTATCTATTCTTGTAGATAAGTCAAGTACGGTAAGGGCTGAGAATTGATTGTTTGGTTTAGAATATGACAGTCATTAATGATTCTGACAAGAATGGTTTTGTCAGAGTAATGAGAGTGAGAACCTGAATGGAATGAGAAGAAGAAAAATGTTCAGAAAGGATGTGAGTTAGCATTATAGAAAATTCTTTCAAGCTCTGTGCCAGATCTTAACAGGGAGTTTATAAGATGATACAAGATAAAAATGCTCTGTGTCTCCCAGAGCTCACAATCCTTGGGGAAGGCAGTTAAGCAATCAGTAATCACAATTTAATATGGTTAATGTTATGAGAGAAGTAAAGAGCACTTCGGTGGTGAGAGAGGTATTGGTGATGGTGGTAGTTGCTCTAATATGTGATGATCTTATGTGCAATAGAAAGAAATGTTACCTAATCCTATGACATCTCCATGATCTTTGGATATTTGAGGCCCTTAACTTTTCCTTCTTTGGAAACTGGCACTTCCTCTCAGGTCAGAACTGGAATGATTAAGTTAAAAATGGGACATTTTCTGCTTCTCCTCTGTGGTTAGTCAGACGAATTCTGAAACTTAGTTCTCCTTGATACGAGAAGAGAAACAAGAGTAGGTGGAGGCAAGCGAGGCAGCTAGAGTGCAAACTTTAAGGATCTGTTCACTTGTAAATTTGTGCAAGTCAGTACTTGCAAAAGCCGGACAGTAAGTGCTTCCCTAAATTTTGTCCCATCGTCACCACAGTTGCTGTACACGGGTCCTGCAGAATAGCCAGGTTCCGTAGGTAGCTCTTTTGAATTTTATCCCCAGGTGTTCTATTTAATAAGTGAACTGTGCTTAGTTTTCAACTCTTATTTGCTTAGTGAGCTTCTTTGAAGTTTTTTATTGCTTTATAACCCTGTCCTTTAAAAGCAAATTGTTACCTTTTTTGGTTTGTTTTTTTCATTTTTTAGAATTTTTTTCATTGTTGAACATTTTCTTCTTTCTTCCCCACCCGTCTCCCAACCCACCTCATAATGTACCTCTTGTTCCAGATTGTTTTTTAATTTTGAAAGATGGCATCAACATCCATGTTCTCTCTAGATTTTAACAGAGGACAAAGAAGTATTTTGTTTTAAAAAGTCTTACCTTGAAAACAGAACTGACAAAAGGGACCAAACTTTTCACCTGACATTTTCTGCTGAATCTGTGCTCTGCTTTTTTCTTACTGTTGTGAAGATATATATAAAATACCATTTGCCAATTCAACAGCTTTCACATATGTGATTTAGTGATAGCAATTACAGCTATTCCACACTTACTGACTTTCTAGTTACCCAGCATTTTATACTTAGGACAATAGTAACTAACAATCTTCAATCTGACTGGTTTGTGCTTTAATCTAGCAGTAAGGAATGATAAGGCATAGGGTAGTAAGGGCCGGTTATGATGTTAATAGTTGTGTGTCTGCTTGGCTGGGCCATGATTTGGAATTGTGTAATGATATAACTCACTGCTATTGAGACAGTTCTGATTCGCACTGACCCTTTATTAAGTTTCTGAGGCTGTAAATCTTAATTGGAAGAGACGGCCTACCTTTCTGTCAGAGTAGTTGGTGAAACTGAACTGCCAACCTTTTGGTTACCCGATAGGTTACATAACACTGCCAGGGCATCTTAGGTAATCATTTTGTGGTTTTGTGGTTTGAGATAGTCATTCTCCATTTTCACATAACACCAATTTCTAATAATGACCTGGTCTTTGGAATCTAACCACCTTGATAAATGAGGTTGTTAGGTGTCTTGAGTTGACTGTGAATCAGCAACCCTGTGAACAACAGATCTGAACCTTGCCCTGTCCTGTAGCATCCTCACAAGCTCTGCTATTCTCAGGCCCATTGATGTATTCTTTGTCTCAGTCCATCTTGGGGAGAGCCTTCCTCTCTTCCACTGTTCTACTTTTGTACATGATGCCTTTTTCCAAGAACTGGCTCCTCCTGATAACATGCCCAAAGCATGTGAGAGGAAGTGTCATCATCCTTGCTTCTAAGGAACTCCCTGGTTGCACTTCCTCCAAGACAGAGTTTGTCATTTTTTTTGCAGCCTGTGGAGTATCCAGTATTTTTTGCCAACTCCACAATCCAAAGTCATTGATTTTACTTTGTATTATGTGCCTTCGATTTGGAACCGACACATAGATGATCCTCCAGTGGGTTTTTAGAGGCAGTAAATTGCACAGGAAGAGATTGATTGCTCATCTTTCTCGTGCAGAGCAGCTGGTGGATCCAAAATACTTGCCTTTGGGTTGACAGTACAACTCTTTACCAGCAGGCCACCAGAGTTCCTTTGATTCTGCTTTAGTCTTCCTTAATCAGTGGGTGCAAATTAATTGTATTGTGCAACATCACCCCTAATTGTTTTTCCCAACCTCATACACAGAAGCTCATTAGTATCTAAACAACAGTTCTTCCTTTCTTTCCTCCCTCCCACTTCTGGTGATCACTAATGAAACCTTAGTCGCTGTGCCTTTGCTTAGTTTCATGCAAATAATGTTTGGAGTCATGGATTTCTAACCGTTTTCTGTTCACTAGGAGACAGCTGTTGTAACCCCATGAGCATGGGTGCTATAAAAAAAATGGTTGAGGAGAAAATACCTGGAATTTATGTCTTATCTTTGGAGATTGGGAAGACGCTGAGAGAGGTAAGGCCTTTCACAGTGTTTCTTTGAAGGTTTACTAGCTAACTACATACAACATATCATTAAAATGCTTTGCTCTGTATTTTTGGCAGCAGTCTTAGCAGTGATCCCTTTACTCTTGAGTGGCTTGTGTGAGGATTTCTATCTAAACAAGTTTCGCTTCTTAGAGAAGAGATGTTAGTGATTTTTCAGCTTTAACCTTTCATGTCTCTGTAACCCTCTTTAAGGACATGCAGAACAGCTTCTTCTTGAATGTCAATTCTCAAGTATCTACAGTGTGTCAGACTCTTGCCAAAGATCCCAAGTTGCAACAAGGCTACAATGCTATGGGATTTTCCCAGGGAGGCCAGTTTCTGTAAGTTCCTTTCTATTGCATTTATACCATATATAGAAGGGATATCTTTTTCTTTTATGAGAGAGCTGTAGTAGCCTAGTGGTAAGAAGCAGTGCTGCAATCCTGAAGGCACTGGGTTCAAATCCATACCAGCTCCTATGGAGGAGATGCTGGAGGATCAGCTATGGGTTGGTCTGACTCAATGGAACTCAGCAACAACATTCATGCACAGAGATTCACTTCTTTAATTCTTTTTTTTTTTTTTTTTACTGTAGAAATCCTTTATTAGCATTTAAATGGCAGCAGCTGTGGAATCGAAAAGCATAGTTAAAAGAGCCGCCTCTGCATTTTGAACTTAAAAGATTTTACACAAAACGTTATTTGCCAGTTTCTAAAATTTCAACAGCCTGGGCTGCCCTCTCTTCCCACAACCCTTTCTCCTCTCCCCACTTTTTCCCCCTTTCCTCTTCTTCCACACTGATTAAATCTGTAAAGGACGCGGTCTCCATGCACTTAGTTAATACTAAAGGCAAGAATTGACCGGATCCATTTGACAACACAAAGATGCTCTCCCCTCAAACTGTGCATGCCACTTCTTTAATTCTATTGAGATCTTTACTTATCTTGGAAGACTAACCATTTAAAAATATGTCTATGTGAAATCCTTTATGGAGTTTCATTTCTTCCCTCTGAAAGACTTTAAGATTTGTGTTTGGCCAGATCAGAAGATAATACTGAATAATGTTTTCTGCCTTGGGGGAACCACTGAAGATTGACTGGCTTTATCTCTAGAGCTGATGTTGATGATACTTTTCTTTCTATCTGATAGTTGGAGCTGATAACCCTCTTTTTTTATTTTTCTAGGAGGGCAGTGGCTCAGAGATGCCCTTCACCTCCCATGAACACTCTCATCTCTGTTGGGGGACAGCAACAAGGTAACTTTGATCTCTTTGCCTCCTTTTTCTTCTGTTCTAATTCATATGACCGTAAACACACCCCTCCCCAGAACTCTTAGCACAAGAAGTCAGACATTCTTAAAAATATAGTCAGACATTTTTAAAGAAAATACACTGTTTCTCCACTTTATGATGATCAAACTAGCCAGCAGTGATGAAGAAATAGGGAGAGATTTAGGATTCAGAGACTGAATCATGGGTGGTACGTTAGGTAGCCTTCTATTTCCTCTTCAGTTTAATTGATAGTATTTTATGTGGTGAAAATGAGGAAAGCTGTGTGACAAGTGGTGATTGAGGAGTCAGGAAAATCTAATGACATTTTCTCTTCCCTGACATCGACAATGTCCTTTTTAAGTTTTTTTAAATTATTTTTTTAAAATCCTTAAAGTGTGCAATTTGAATCCACTAGATTCTCCACTGGAGAAGGAGGGGCACACTCCTCCTGTGCCAGTCAAATCCAATTCCACAGTACACCATATTAAAAATCAACAAATAGGGGAGCTCTGGTGGCCTAGTGGCAAGGAGCTGCAACTACAATCCCAGAGGCACACAGTTCGAATCCACCAGATGCTCTGCCGGG